ACCATTCAACACAAGTTTCTCTTACTTTTCTCAAAATCTCTCAAAAACATTTTATTTTCTTCTCAATCAAAGCCAAACATGAGTAATAGGCCTCATAAGCTCCATGTTATGTTCTTCCCTATGATGATGGCTCATGGCCACATGATTCCAAGTTCCAACTCTAGACTTGGCTAAGCTTTTATCAACCAGAGGAGCCAAATCCACACCTCTCAACTCCAAGATCCTCCACAAATCAATCAACGCATATCAAGTGTTTTTTTTCTTTGGGTCAAAATCAAGTGTTCTTATACTAGGATATTGATAAGCGTTCTTATACTGAGATTGTCCAAAGACATTTTTGATATAGGAATGTACGTTGGATGTTGTGTGTTTTTGTTATGAGAAAAAACCCGACCGCATCATTGAAAACTCATCATAATCAAAATAAAAAAATTAATTTAAAGAGAAATATCTCGTGAAGGAAATTAATAATCGTTTGAATTTTGTTACTTTTTAAAAACAAATGGTAGGTGTAACCGACGCATATTTACTTGGTGGTCCCATCACGTGCCGCCCCACTTGCTTTTTCCCCACTTGTGTTTAATAATCCCTTATCTTATAAAACAGAAGTTAGAGAGAGACTCCTAAATCTACTCTCATAACAACACCTCATCAATTTTCACACGTGTCATTTTCTCAATTTTTTAAAACCTAATTAATCTGATAAAAAAAATTGACTACCCTAATTCATTAAGCGAACAAATAACTTCCTCTGAAAACTGCTCCCACGATCTCCACTTAACCTCTTCATGGAGCACAAAACTGCAACTACTATTTGCAATCGAAACCACCAATCATCTATCTATATAATTCGATTATCTCCAATTTTCTTCAACACTTGTACTCTTCAGTATCAAATATATGGAACGAAAATTGCTTTAGGCTAGAAGAAAAAAGACTAGCAAACTCCGGTAAGGATTCTAAATTTGTTTCTCTTACTACCTTTCTCAATTTTCGTGATCTTCACATTCTTTTTGCTTTACAAATCTTAGGATCCAATTTATAATGTTTTCGCACTTCCTCTTTTCATTCCTAATGTTTATTCTTTACTATTTCCTATATTTGGTTTGCAATTTGCTCACTTTTGCCTTGGTCTGTTAAGTTGTCCCCACTATCGATCTCAAACTGATTTAAGTTCAACAAAAAGTTATTTTTCCAGGGCTTTTGATGTTATCGTCAAGCCCCCAGCAAAATTTATTCAGGATTCCTAACATTCATCTCGGTTAGAAAAGTCGATGCGTCATTATGCTCCAACAAGATTCTTATAAAAACGAGGTTGGTTATCAGTTATTCAATCTTCACCCATTCTTTTCTTATCTATAATACAATTAAATTTCGTAAATCTAAGTTATGTTGTGGACCATTGGTTTACAGAATGGCATGATGTGTGGATCATTACTGAGAGTTGTCGCAAAACGTTGCAAAGAAGAGCAAGTGTTAAGGCAAGTTTTTCATCCTTTGAAACAAATCAAAGAAAATTAGATGCTCTAGAGCTATTAAGTACTCTTACAAGCAACCTTTTATAATATCTCCAAGTTTCTTGCATTTATTATACATGTTTCAAACATTTCTTTCTTTTGAGAAATTAATCATAGTATTTCAAAACTTGCTGTATTTTAATTTCAATTTCCTCTTACGGTTTTTAAAGAACTAAACGCATCTTTTTAATTTTTTGTTGAGTTTCAGTTCTTAACTATTCAATTAAATCTCTAAAAACTCTTCTTGGCAACCATTTAGGTTTCTTAGGAATTTAGATCACGTAAAATGTTTTGGCTTCAATTTTGTATCGCTTTTCAGTTTAAATTCTTCTCTCTTTTTATTTTATACATTTTTTCTCTGATTTTGCTTGAATTTGCTTAGACAAATTATTAACAGCTCCATGTTAATTTAAATTTCTTATGTATTCTCTGTTTGTATCAATTACATTTTAAAAACAGTAGTAATAACTACATACTCCACTACATGAATTTATTGATTATTTGTTTTTGCAGATAACGGCAATGTGGTGTGAAAATGCCAAAACATGGATTTTGAAGACGACAATCAAGTCAAACATGAACAAATTAGTTGAAGAGTTGGCTTTTTACTTCTATTTGTGTTCCCATTCATATCCAAAACATGCTAAGTTGGATTGTACTTAACTTAGCTATTACTCATTTCACTACTTATTTTGCTAAATAGAGCAAAAACAATAGTTATATTGGTTTGCTGTGGCCAATGTCTTTCCTTTTTACATACTAACATCAACAACTCTTTAATACTCATTATTTGTTGATGTACCAAATTAAAATCATCCCGTGCAGATGCACGGGCCATAATACTAGTTAGAATAGATGTTTCATGTTTCTTTTATACTGGAGTAATAATAAACATAAAATACATACGTTTAGGGTAATGCCGTAAAATACGCGAGTAACAATTTATCTCTTCTTTATCTGTGAAGTTGCATGTTGACGTAATCTTTAACCGTAATTTTTGTTTTTGATTTCCTGGTCTTCAATCGTCGTGAATAAAATACTAAGGAAGAGAATTAGTTAAATTTTAAAATAGATAAATTTATAACAATTCAAAGAATTTCCAAAGTATTCTAACTTTTTTTGTTTAATGAATAAAATAATAAGAAAATCCATCTATCAAATAGTACTAAACTCTAAAATAGAATTACAGAACTAATAGTATAAAAAAAAATTTGGACGACAAAATAGATTCTCTTCGTTTTATCCTAGTTCTAACTTTCTCTCCTAAGACTGTGAATAAGATAATCCAACAAAGCAAATATAAACATCGAGAATAAGCGAAAACCCTTTTGTCAATAAATATTTATCTCAACTCTTTTAAATTCTATACATAACCAACCAGACTAAGACTCATACATCAATTCAGTGATCACTACTCAACAATTTGTCTCAAATCTCTCAAATTGCATACATAACCAACTATACTTGGTGTTTTTACATCGGTATATTTGTTAGTTTTGAAGAATTCATAGTTTAGTAAATTAGTAACTAGACGCACTTTGGTTCACTTGTTCATAAAAATAAATTATGTTTCTTCGTGTACATAAAAGAAAAAAAGAGGAAAGTACTTTGCATGTGATCCACTTGTTCATATTTGTTTGTGTGTGAGTATAGATGTATACAAGGAAGAGAAGAAAACACTTTGCATGTGGTCCACTCCACTTGGTCACTAATCAGAGTTTTTAAATTTGTGGACATAAAAACTATAATTACTTTTTTGAAGGG